TTGGGCAAATGTTTTGTTAGTGGGATGAATTGTAAAGGACCTGCCTAGTATGGGCCAACAGGCCTCCTGCAGTGTTCCTCCTTTCTTATGTTCTTATGTATACATACTCTTCTTTGAATCAAATATGATTACGTCTCATGCCGGAGGCACTGTATGATCCAGACTAGTTTAGTGATTCCCTATGAATGCAACAAAATAATAATAATAATAATAATAACAATAATAATAATAATAATAATAATTAATAATAATAATACAATTCTAGCAAAATTTTCTTGAGGGCTGTCGTCCAGTTTAATGTTTTTTGAAAAAAATATAGAATTTATTATTATTATTATTATTATTATTATTATTATTATTATTATTTCAGTGTTTCCACGTGACCTGATGCCTTGCATCTGAGAACCAAAATACGGCAGTTCTCCCTCAAAACATTTTTATGCAGTACGTTTTGCAAATGCTGTTGAAAAAGGACATCCCTAATTGAATAACGCGTGGAAAGACGTTCACGCTATTCAGTTCTGGAAGTACTTTAATCTGACTGTAGTTTATTAGCTATGCTCCCCATTTCTAAACCTGACTGCAGAAACACTTGCTAACATTAACACTTCATACTACGTAATGCTATTTTATTGAGAAAAAATCAATTATGGTTTATGTACTCTACTGAGAAAGTTGGATATCGACCAGGCTTCCTTAGGACGTGTTATTTGTTGGCTGATAACCCACGCAGCTTAGTGTGTTTCGGCACAAGGCTGAAGTTTAGTGGTAGCTTTGTTTTTATCTGAGTTTGTTCTAGTAGCGGAAACAGCAGAACTCTCCCTTGTAAGGAATATTCACTTCTCTTTCAACAGACTGATATCATGTAACTCAGCTCGCCAAAATGTATATGCATCTGAGAATAAATGACACGAGATAAGGATCAAAACTCCTTATTCCCACGATATTTTCACTCAATTCACGTGTCCTTACTTCTGGCTTGGTTAGACAGCGTTCGCCTGACTACTTATATACCTTTGATGAATACCGAAGAGTTTTTCTATTCCCGGAGCTTAGTGAAGGAAGCTGAAGAAAGTAATATAAATAATTTTTCGTGTCGTGAGTCTCCTAACCAATGGGAACAAGCATGTAATGATGGAGAAAATTCACTGTATTTTCTAGACTTTTGGGACGGCCTGAAGCTGGCAGCTGCAGCTCCTTTCTTCCTACTGTCCTGGAGATACATGTCGGCCAATGTGGATGCGTATGTGTAGTCCCACATCATTTATGTATTATATACATAACATTAATAATTTGGGGAAAGGGCAGGACTCGAACCCATATCAAAGTATAAGTTCAGTCTTTCTGTAGGGATAATTATCGCTACTTACAAGGAAGATATGTGTATCTCTGTATACACCGGCAGGTGAGTATCTCTCGATGTATATTCACGGGGCGTTAATTAAATTTAATCTCCTTATAAGGAATTAATAGTATCCTTTACCAGTAATGTACATGTTACATACAACTTTAATGACCCCTTGTGTAGTTGATATGCTTCAAACCCGATAAACCAACCAATTAATAATAATAAGCTGGAAAGACTTGCCTAACTGGCATCATGAGTCCGCTGGATTTACCCACCGGCGAGCATGCCTGTGAGGCACTGAGAACTGATTTGTTTTATTACTCTATTTCGATTAAGGCTCTTCATTAAGGTCTTATTGTCAGTGATATTTTCTAGTGCAGAGAAATTTTAATTTATACGCTAAATGTGATTCTTTTGTATAGGCGGCATCATTTTATAGCATCGTTGTCAGATATCGTTAACAAAACTTCTGCGTCCGGATGTACTGTTATTATCAGACAGGCTAAAGAAAATGCAGACAAGGCAACTCTGGCAAGCTCCTCTCACCTCTTTTAAGTAACAAGCTTTACTGAACTAAACATTCCTTAGTGGCGCGCCAGTGTGTAGCGTCGCACACACTTACGTAATAATAAGAAAACCTCTAAAGATACTGTATGTATAAGGAAAAAGAAGTTCTGCATTACGGTGACTAGACACTCGAGTCGTGCTGGAAAGTATCTTGGGCAAAAATGCCATATGTAAAAAAAAATTTTTTTTTAGCTAATTTATTAAGCTTAAAGCCTATTGACTATCTGAGGGCCACTATGGCTACATATCACCTGCATACTACCAGTCATTGATACTTTAATCCCTAAAATAGGGATTAAAAGTCACTCCTATTATCAAGAAAAAAACAGTGGATGTATTAATCCTTAATTAACGATATGGATTACATTATAAAAGAATGCAATGTCGAAAGGAATTTCACAGGTATGGCCACTTTTATGTGTACAAAAACGTTTGATACGGTGAACTATGTAAGCTGATTAAGGCTTTTCTGAACAAGAAACGAACTGCCCAAGTCAATACGGCAACAAAATCCTAGCCGACACTATGTGGAGCTCTGAAGGGTGATATCTTCGCCCCCCCCCTACTATTCTTGTGCTGTACAAATGACATGTTCATTTGTGTTAAAGAGTAAATTTTATTTGTATGCGGATGACAGTGCTTTCTTAGTGTTAGGAAAATACTCACAAGATATAGCTAAGTTAAAAATTAAATGTCAAATAGATCAGAGCGGGTATATAATGCCTTGCGTCTAATTGTGATAATGAAGGATAACCCACTGAACAGATTATTACGTTTCTTTCATGTGTAAAAAATTAAACTTATGATTGTAAAACGTTTTTCAGATTGTCTTAAAAAGTTACTTACTTAGGTTAGGTTAGGTTAGGAAAGATTTGTCAGGAAACAGGACAAGTGTTTCCTGATGCGGGTCTTAGTCATATGATGACCCGCCGCTGGAGCTTTAGATCATCTGACCGAGGCCTTCCGCTGGCTTACCGGTCCACCCCTTTAAAAATTAGAGTAATGATTATAACTATTTCATGCTACTACTCACACACTTAGCTCCCAAAAGAGATGGACTTAAGAACTACAAAACACCAAATCTCTCTCTTCTATGTTTTAACATGCGAACTTTCCTGAAACGGCAGTTAGATAAAATCTGGTTCGAATTTTTAACCCCAAAGAGTTAGGCACTCAGGGTAACCTAAGAAAGGCAGTGCGTTATCGAGAGACAGTTGATCTCCATTTGGGTCCTTCAGCCTTGTCCTCCAGGATGCGACCCACATCAGTCGACTAACACCCAGGTACCTATTTGCTTGCTAGGTGAACGGGACAACAGGTGTAAGGAAACGCACCCAGTGTTTCCACCCTTGCCGGGGATCGCACCACGGACACGCAGCGTGTAAAGCGAGAGCGCTGCCTACCAGGCCATTGGCACCCTCAATAATTATCCAGTCCTGTCTAATCACGAAGATTTACTAATGTGAACTGTCCCTCAAGTTTCCATCTTCTGATTGGGAAAGGATGGATGTATGTATAGGCAAGTCTCCTTATTCCTCTGTACAACCATGTAACTTGTAAAAACAATCTTAATCCTTACAACGCTTGCCCCTGTTCGTCCAGCAATAAATGGGTACCCAGGAGTTAGTCGACAGTTGTGAATATAATTTCTAGGAGAGAGGCCCTAAAGGTCTTAATGGAATTAACCTTGACTTTCTTGGGTTATCTTGGACGCTTACTCTCCGGAGTTAATAATCTCAAGTGTCTTATTCTTCTACTCTGTCTCCAGTTTAAGCCGCCGTCATTCTCTTCAAATCTCTAAACTTTCTTCATTTAAAACAAATATGATTATAGCTTTTTCTTCTTTCCTAGAAGTGCAGTTTGGATGGACTTCTACTAAAAACCCATCCAGTTTTTTTCAATACTGCTCATGTGCCCTACCAGTAGTTTTAGCTATGATATTTTCATGGATATTTACTTAAGAAGTTTATCGCATTCACTTAGTTTGGAAACTCTGGAGCTGTCACTGGAGGGTGCACACTCTGTTCCATTCTCTTCAGGTCACACACTCAGTTTTTCCTCAAGGACTGAAACACTGGGTTGGACACCCTGAGCTACTATCAGCAGGATGTTACCAGCAGCCATCGCTGTAGCAGTGAATGACTGCTTGATTGAGATGATCTTCATTGTTGAACCTCTACTGGTAATGCAAAAAAGATGCTGCTCCTCTTCGTTTTCACTTTGAAATTAGCTGGAGAGAACTGCACATACCAGCAGTAGTAAACACCCAGCAAGTAGTGAGAAAAATATATTTTAAAGCACCTAAAACTATGAAATAGCCTGACACACGCATTTCTCTGCAGTAGCAGCTATCTGGAGAAAGACAAACACATGTAGTGGATTAAACCTTTACTGAGACAAGATCAGAAAGCCTTGTTCAGCTACACGTCTTTCTCCCTATTAGTGTCAGCAGTATGACCTAAAATCAGCAAATAGGAGTGAGTTAGCACGCGTCAGGAGCACTGACCAGACGTTGTGAAGAGACTATTAGTCTTTCTCCCTATTGGTGTCAGCAGTATGACCTAAAATCAGCAAATAGGAGTGAGTTAGCACGCGTCAGGAGCACTGACCAGACGTTGTGAAGAGACTAGAACTAGATGGATCAATAAATCAGCAACACGCTCTCTACACTCTAGTCAAGCTTCCTTGTACTGGGTGTATGTTGCATGTCATGACTAAGTTTATATCACATAGTTTCTGAATGACCTTTCAATTCATGGGTCTTTCAAACCCACGTAGAGAAATTTTATCTATCATTAAGGCTTTGTTCCTGTTATTATTATTATTATTATTATTATTATTATTATAATTATATTATGAAACCAGAGATTATCCACTATCCTCCTTCCTCTGGCCTTTCAAGGGGAAGTTAAGTTTATTTAGGTACAGGGTGCACATAAATGCAATTATCATACATAGTAACATGTGTAAATGACCTTGGATAACCCAGCAAAGTCAAAGTGACTTATTTCCTTTGGGGTCCTTGGTAATGCCTAATAAAGGGCTCTTGATATTAATACCATAATAATCTTCCTTCTCCCCACAGAGGCTGCGCAGCAGGACGGTGATGCGGTGGGTGTCACTAGGGGTTCTGACCTACGTGTATGTGGTGGGGGAGCTAAGCCACTTTCTGCTGGGGATCGTGTCTAGGCCCATGAGCCAGGAACTCCACTACGGCGACCATGCCTGCCTACCTAACCCCAACCTCTCGAACAAGTCTGACGAATGCCGCCCGTTAAATGAAACCAGGTGGGGGCCGAGTGCTGCGTAAGGAAGACAAATATAGTAACAAGCCTCGTCGACATCAGCTGTTTTGATGGTGTTAAGGCTGTAGGTAGTATGTTCGACGGTGATACAGCCTTGTGGCTGCAGGGATCGAGTCATAGTTCCTGGCCCCGCCTCTTCGCGTTAAGAGAGTACATAAGGTTTTCGGATTATTAACCTAAATGGATATAAGTCATTTTGACTTGGGTTATCCTAGGTAATTTATGCTATGTATGACGACTGTAATTTTGTGTACCTGTGCCTAAATAAACTTAAAAACCTGAAGGATTAGCCACCTATGATAACCCAATAGTCAGTGCGTTATCGAGGACTGTCTTATTTCCATTGGGGTCCCTTTAATCTTGTCCCCCAGAATGCGATCCACACAAGTCAACTATAACTCAGGTACCTACTTACTGCTAAGTGAACAGGGACAGCAGGTGTAATTAAACATGCCCAACGTTTCCATACATGCCGGGGATCGAACCACGGCCACTCAGAATGTGAGCTGAGGGCGCTATCAATCGAGCCACATACCTTTAGGATTTAGAATGTGAAAAATTATGATTATTATTATTATTGCAAATCACCTGCAGGAGGTTACAGGGCATTACCTGAACTATTACCTACAAGTAATCTGGGTGAGGTAAGTGGGACTCAGTCACAGTAGATCACTGAACTGCAACTCCTTCGACTGCCCATAACCTTACTACTTTCACAAAAAGCTAGACCTAACATTAAATTAATAATTATAATATTAAAACTGGTACTCTCGTTCATTGAAATTCGGTGGACTGTATGGTATTTTGGTTGCTTGCTGGGTACACAAAAATATAACTATTAGTACAGTGCATATAATAATGGTGTTAATAGAAAAGAACTTTGTATTACCACTTACCATCTAATTGCTGGAAGACACTTAATGCTGATGGAACACACCCTAACCTGACCCCTGGGGGCTAGAATTTACGATGGCCAAATTATTATTATTATAATCAAGGGGGAAGCGCTAAACCCGGAGGATTATACAGCGCCTGAGGGGGGATGTGGAAGGCATTCAGGCTTAATACGGGGCACTGGAGCAGACCCAATACCCTAAATCAAGAGCCTCTCACCAACATCAAGGAACCTTCCTTGAGGGGTACGATGGCCAAAGCAAGACTACTTTAACATGGATAAGCATCACTTAGCTGTGTTGCTGGGAAGGATTCATTGAAGTCCTCGATGTTTACGTCCTCCACATGCAATTCTTGAGGTCCCGCAAATTTGTCACAGTTCTTCAGCAGGGGACATTAACACGGGTTCCTATTACAAATTCAAGCCGAAATACCTCATTTTGGCCTCTGAGAACGCACGATAATTAACAATTTCCCACTACATCCAACGTTCACACATTCAAAATGGCATCTCCCCCCCCAGCGTCCCTACTGGCTGTTCCATCCCCTCCCTCGAAATTTCTCGAAGGGTCCGAAGAGTATCATATTTTATTACACAGTTATGTTCTACATTTAGGAAATTATGTAAAAAAAAATCCACTTAGGATTTATAATAGTACCACTGGCTAGGATTATGGTTTGGCCATGTAAAGGTGACTCCTATGGTCCTATGGCTTCAATTTTGTTGCTGGTGTCAGGATTAAAGATATATATATATATATATATATATATATATATATATAATATATATATATATAGTATATATATATATATATATATATATATATATATATATATATATATATATATACATATATATATATATATATATATATATATATATATATATATATATATAATATATATATATATATACATGTATATATATATATATATATATATATATATATATATATATATGTATATATATATTGGTACCACAGTTGAGGCCTGAAAACTAGTTTTGACTGCATATTTATGAATTTAAAGAGAAAGATGGCTCCAACTTCATCCTGTTCCCTATCCGTATATCTCTTGTAAATAAAGTTAGAACCCCTAAACCTAGCCTTGTAAAACCCTGTGTAAAAGAGAGAGAGAGAGAGACTTAAAGCACTCCATCATAAACCGCTGGACTAACATCTTAGCGTCCAAATTTCAGTTCCGGTATGAAAGCAGGGAAAGTTGAGTCTGTCTCGCTCTACCTGTGGTTCCGTGTGCATGAAACACCCTGCATTATGCAGCACAGCAATAATTTCTCTCCCTCCCTCCCCTCGTATTTGCTGAAGAGGGCCTCAGTTGGGGCCGAAACATCCAGACCTGCCGAATTTTTCCTAAAATCTAGTGTGGTATTTCGTAGGTTTTATGACATCCTCATCTGCAGCACTTGCCTGGTATCTGAACACACGACTACCATCCTGCTATAGGAGTGTGAAACCTAGCCAGTGTTACTCTCTCTCGGGAACGGAGGTTCAAGCCTCCACCATTCCTTGCGTTGATCCACGCGGATTTTAACGCTTCATGTGATAATTATCAACCTTTTCTGACTTCACACTAAGTTTTTTTTTTTCCTGTTCCTATGTCTCGGCCTATTAAGCTCCCTTGTATAGTGAAATTTTGCGTAAATAGCGCAATGATAGGCTTTCTTAAAACGTGATATTCATTGTTATAAACTTTACAGTATGATTTACGAAAAAAAGCTCTGTATAGAGGAGTTTTACAATATTCCCATCTGGCAGTGAAAATTTAAGGTACACCTTAATGAGCACGGTGTAGTCGATAGGCTTCAAACCCCCCATTAACCAACTCGAACACTCCGTCAGTGTCTCCGTCAGTGTTGCACCCACATTTTTATTCCTTTTTTCTTACAAATAATATCAGGTTCAGCGCCTCTAATGTTGAGCTCTGGCTCTTGGGTTCACAGGACTAGCCTCTACTTTTTCCTCCTCTTGGACCTTCCGCTTCTCTAGAGCCCTGATCCCTTCAGGGAGGTACCTTGATACAGATCAGGGGATCTTGATTTGATTCAATGGGATCTTGGTGCAGATCAGGGGCTCTTGATTTTGATCAGGTGGTTATTGATGCAGGCCAGGGGCTCTTGATGTGGATCAGGGACTCTTGATGCAGATCAGGAACTCTTGATGCAGATCACGGGACTCTTGGTATAATCAAGGAAGTCTAGATCCAGGGAAGTGGATCTGGCCTTCCATCCCTGGGCGCCAACTTTATTTCCTCCTATTCCCCATGTTGCCCTACGTGTTTAGCACTTCTTATGATTATTATAATAATTGAAGAGGGAATACAGTATTTTCTAACTGTCCCCTTGATGCTGTCCTCTCCTTGGATCAAACCTGATTACTTTCCTTTTCCTAGTCTCTGTAACCCATACTGTTTTAGAACTTATCCATATAATAATAAAATAATAATAATAATAATAATAATAATAATAATAATTATTATCATTATTATTATTATTATTATTATTATTATTATTATTATACCTCAATTTTATTACTTAAATTGCCAGTAAGTGCTAAACCTGTAGAGGTCATGTAGCACCTAGGGGTGGGAGGCAATCATGTTTGCATCGACACCATGCCCAGCCTTTCTAGGGCAGGGTAGGTGCCTGAGCCCGAGCTTTCAGCTCACAACACTGTCATTCCCATCAGCCCCCTTGGGGCGGGGATGGCAGACTAGAGAGGCCTAGCTTGTGGCTAGACCTGGGGACAGTTAGTCCCAAAGATGAGGAGGTACTTGTGCCTCCTCCCATGGGAGACTTAGGTCTCAGACATTCCCTAAAGAGGGAGCCAAGGCCGGGCCACCACTTGGAAAAGGCCCGGGCTGGGAGAATACCGGCGAATCTTTAATAATAAAATAATAATCATGTTTGATCCAAGGAAGAAGAGGTAAGTCTTCTTCCATGGATCTAAAGCCCTTCACTGGCATCAAGGCCCCTCTATGAATGGACTGATTGATTTGGGTGTTGATTTTCTGTCTCTCTTCGTCCTGGGCTCTTTTATGTTATACAGTCTTTTTTTTTCTTTTTACACATTGATAGTCTCCCATCAAGGTAGGGTGACCCGAAAAAGGAAAAAAACACTTTCACCATCACTCACTCCAATCCTGTCTTGCCAGAGGAGCACCAATACTGCAGTTTAAAACCACAAATATATCCACCCCTCCTTCAGAGTGCAGGCTCTGTGTCCATATTTTTTATATCATGGTGTACCGTGTACAGTATTTTGTATGTCCTTGTCATGGTTCCCCTTCTGCATCTTTCTTGATATGTGAAGGCAAATTCTTTGGTTTCCCACCAAACATGGTGACCCAATGAAGAAAACGTGTTCACCGTCATTCATTCAGTCACAATCTAGAATGGTGCTATGTCAACATTCACAATTCATATTTCAGTCACTACAACTTTGTTTTTTGTTTGTGGGCTTCACACTTGTGCTGTATACTCGAGGATTATTTTACACTTGTTGTAATAGTCAGTTTTAAAGGATTGTCATTTTTTTGTGATTTTTTAAAGCCATTTTCATGTGTGCTATTCTGGCATAGATTATACTAATGTTATATTATTTGTATGGTCCAAATGACAGGTTAGAACAATATATGGTAAAATTGATATGTGATACTGACAGGTTGTTGGAAAAAGACAAAATGTAAACAGGACATTTTATTTAGAACTGGTCACTGTATAAGTGTCAGGTCCTAGTACCAAAATGTTTCCAATAAAATTTTCTAGTTTTTGCACTGTCTTTTTTCCAGTAGCATAGAATGTATTCTCAGGTCCTTTGTCTTTTCTTATTTTGTAATATTTTTTTTGGCCAGGCAATATAAAGTGTGGGTATACAATATGTAGGATACACAAATAACCCGCACATAGGAGAAAGAAACTTATGACAACATTTCTGTCTGGCTTTAATCATTAACTTGACACTAGTTAATGATTCAAAACATCATCATACTTTTCTCCTATATGCGGGTTATTTGTGTATTGTTCCTGTCACGATATTGTGCCTTTTTATTCTTCAGTTTGTATGATCGTTGATTTTCAGATGGAAGCATTTGTATCTCATTACATATACGTATATATATACAAAACATTGCATCAGAATGTATTTTTCTCCATGAGCTGCTTACCATGCAGCCTGTTTGTAATGTACGACCCATTGCCTAGCACCATCATACTTGCTTAGAGACAGCCAGCGTCTACTAATAAGTCTAATGACTTTCTTGACAAGGTTCAGGATTGCTTTTTAGAACAGGTTGTGACAGAACCAACTAGAGGAAACAATCTGCTTGACTTGGTTCTTGCCAACAAAGATTCACTAATTAATAATCTTGAGGTTAATGATGAGCTTGGGGAAAGTGATCACAAATCACTTAGTTTTAATATATCATGGAATTACCCAGATAACTGCACTCAAATCTCTGTCCCAGATTTTCGCTTGGCCGACTTCATGGGACTGAAAAATTACCTGGGTGGGCTAAATTGGGATGTCCTGACTATGGGTCAGGTAGGTGATCTTGGTTGCCAATATGACATTTTTCAGAGCATAGTTCTAGCTGCCCAGACAACTTTTGTTCCGAGTAGGGAAATTAGATCTAACAAAAATGATCCCAAATGGATGAGCAATATATTAAAACATCTCATTGGTCAAAAGAGAGGCATATACATATGGGCATATCAAAAGAGGGGATGGGCAGTTAAGAAATCAATATATTCAATTAAAGAGAGAAATAAAGAAAGGAATAAGAGAAGCAAAAAGGGATTATGAGGCTAAGGTCACAAGGGATTCAAAGACTAACCCAAAAGGGTTCTTTCAGGTATACAGAAGTAAGATTAGGGACAAGATTGGCCCACTTAAGAGTAACTCTGGTCAGATCACTGACAGTGATAAGGATATGTGTGAAATTCTAAATACCTACTTCCTCTCAGTTTTCACCCAGGAAAATACTAGCGATATTCCTGAAGTAATAGATTATGTAGAACAGGATGATAATAAACTATGTACGACTGCAGTAACTAGTGACATGGTCCTCAGACAAACAGAGAAACTAAAACCTAACAAATCCCCAGGTCCTGATGAACTGCTTGCAAGGGTGTTAAAGGAATGTAAAGAGGAACTTGGCATACCTTTGGCTAATATTTTTAACATATCACTATAAACTGGCATAGTGCCTGATAAGTGGAAAATGGCAAATGTAATACCTATTTACAAGGCAGGTGACAGGTCCTTGGCTTCGAACTATAGACCAATAAGCCTTACCTCTATAGTGGGAAAATTTATGGAATCAATAATTGCCGAACCAATTCGTAGCCATCTTGACAGGCACAGATTGATTAATGAATCTCAACACGGTTTTACAAAGGGGTGTTCCTGTCTTACGAATTTACTAACTTTTTTCACTAAGGTGTTTGAGGAGGTAGATCACGGTAATGAATATAATATTGTGTATATAGACTTCAGTAAGGCTTTCGATAGAGTTCCACACCAGAGGCTGTTGAGGAAACTTAAGGCACACGGAATAGGAGGAGAAATTTTTTCCTGGGTAGAGGCATGGCTGACAAATAAACAGCAGAGAGTTTGCATAAATGGGGAGAAATCAGAATGGGGGCACGTCACAAGCGGTGTTCCTCAGGGGTCAGTGTTGGGACCGTTGTTGTTCACAATTTACATAAACGACATAGATGAGGGAATAAATAGCGACATAAGCAAATTTGCTCATGACACCAAAATAGGCCGTCCAATTCATTCTAATGAGGACACTAGAGCACTCCAGGATGATTTGAATAGATTGATGCAATGGTCGGAGAAGTGGCAGATGCAGTTTAATATTGACAAATGCAAAGTTCTAAATGTTGGACAGGTAAATAACCATGCCACATATAAACTAAATAATGTAGATCTTAATACTACTGATTGCGAAAAGGATTTGGGAGTTCTGGTTAGCAGTAATCTAAAACCAAGACAACAGTGCATTAGTGTTTGCAATAAAGCTAACAATTCTTGGCTTCATATCTAGAAGTATAAATAATAGAAGTCCTCAGGTTGTTCTTCAACTCCATATATCCTTGGTTAGGCCTCATTTAGACTATGCTGCTCAGTTCTGGTCACTGTATTACAGAATGGATATAAATGCTCTGGAAAACGTACAGAGGAGGATGACAAAGATGATCCCATGTATCAGAAATCTTCCCTATGAGGATAGACTGAGGGCCCTGAATCTGCACTCTCTCGAAAGGCATAGAATTAGGGGGGATATGATCGAGGTGTATAAATGGAAAACAGGAATAAATAAAGGGGATGTAAATAGCGTGCTGAAAATTTCCAGCCAAGACAGGACTTGCAGCAATGGTTCAAGTTGGAAAAATTCAGATTCAGAAAGGATATAGGAAAGCACTGGTTTGGTAATAGAGTTGTGGATGAGTGGAACAAACTCCCGAGTACAGTTATTCAGGCTAAAACGTTGTGTTGTTTTAAAAATAGGTTAGATAAATACACGAGTGGGTGTGGGTGGGTGTGAGTTGGACCTGACTAGCTTGTGCTGCTGGGTCTCGTGCAGTGCTCCATCCTTGAGTGGAGATGATCAGACTGGGTGGGTCATTGGGCTAATCCGGGGGGGGGGGGGGGTCATTGGTCTAATCTGGGGGACACATGGACCTGCTCCACATGGGTCAGTAGGCCTGTTGCAGTGTTCCTTCTTTCTTATGTTCTTATGTTCTTATAAAGTCTTGATCTTGGCTTTGCAGTTGTCCTTTGCTCCTGGAGGACGACAAAAATTCGACTTGCGTGTGGGACTACTCTGGCCTGGGGCTGCAGTATCAGGTGCTGGCAGGACCTGCCTTCGTAGCCGTCTTCACCACTGCCGGTGTCATCATTGGTATCATCTCCGACAGGTTTAACAGGTGAAATATATGCACGGGTTCAACCCCTTGGATTCAGCTAGTGAACCTCATATGTGACCCATAACTCAGTTATAGAAAATTCAATTCATTACCAAAAGGGTTTTGGTTCAGTTTACTGGGCTGGATACTGTGATTAATAGCAAATCTTTTTACAAATGCCCCTGTTCACATACAGTAAATAGGTACCTAAGTGTTAAGATGAACAGGGGTGGAAAGTGTAAGGTTAAACTACATAAGTTCAAAAGCATATCTATATATTGATTTAGATTATTGCTATCAGTGATTAAGAATTTCATTAAATAAATCACTCATACATGACCCAAGTTTCAGAAAAGTTACTTCACTTGCAACATAAATTAACAGTTATTTTCAAGTAAATAAATTCTCTCTTAGCTAAAATAAGTTACTCTCACTTAAATGAACACAAAGAGTTGTATGTAAAGTAGTTTTATTGTTTTTATTTAGTAGGCATTCCGTTATAAAATTTATTTTTGTAAATTATATTATTGAATACTCACACTGAACACTAATACCCACATCCAATACTAATAACCATACCCAAAATTAATACCCATACCCAACACTAATAATCACACCCAACACTAATACTCACACCCAACACTGATACTCACAACCAACACTAATACTCACAACCAGCACTAATATGCCACACCTGTTACTATCACCCATGCCCAGCACTAACACCCACACCCATCACTATCACCTACACTCCATAATTTAATACCTACTTCAGGCAGCCATTCCTGAAACTAATGAAGTAAGTGTCGCAGGAAGACAGTAGTGACAGTATGTTGTGCGGCATTGACGCTGGCAACGGGGCTCACAGGTGCTGCTATGAGTTACTGGCAGCTGGTTGTCTTCAGGATGGTCATGGGCGCTGGGTAAGCAGACCTACTCTCATCTTGCAAATGCCTGACTTGATATATGTTCGGTTAACCCTCATTATCATACACCTCGAAATGAAGGACTTTTAAAATAATGGGAAAAGTCCATTGGTTAAACTGTAGTTTTAACTCCTTTATTTTCAGAATTTATTGCAGTACAGTGGTCCCTCAATAATCGTCCGGTCTGAAAGTCGTCCATTTCGGAAATAGTCCTGTTTTTTCGTCAAAATATTGGCTCGCAAATGGTCCGGTAACTCACTAATAGTCCTTCGTCCCAGACGCGTACTCACGCTCTGAGCCGCCTCGGCCTTTCCTTCCCAGCCAGTGTGCCATTGTTTATCAGTGAGCGACGGTCCCCTCACGTGCTCCAGCAAAATATTTCATAATATTCCATTTATTTTAGTGCTTGCAAGTTATTTAAGTGCTAAATAAGCTACCATGGCTCCAAAGAAAGCTCCTAGTGCCAAGCCTTTGGTAAAGAAGGTGAGAAATACGACTGAATTTAAGAAAAACATTATTGAACAATATGATAGTGGCGTACGTGTGGACAAACTGGCCAGGATGTATAACAAATCCCGTACAACCATGTCTTCCATCATAGCCAAGAAAAAGGAAATCAAGGATGCTGTTGTTGCAAAGGGAGTAAATATGCTGACAAAAATGAGATCACCAGTACTCGAAGATGTTGAAAAGTTATTATTGGTGTGGATAAATGAAAAACAATTAGCAGGAGACAGTCTTATGACGTTGCTTATTTGTGAAGAGGCTAGGCAGTTGCATGACGATTTGGTAAAGAAACTGCCTGCAACTAGTGGTGATGTGAGTGAATTTAAGGCCAGCAAAGGCTGGTTTGAGAGATTTAAGAAGCGTACTGGCATACAGTGTGGTAAGGCATGGTGAGGCTGCCAGTTTGGACCACAAGGCGGCTGAAAAATGTGTGCATGAATTCAAGGAGTACATAAACAGTGAAGGACTGAAACCTGAACAAGTGTTCAATTGTGATGAAACAGGCCTCTTTTGGAAGAAAATGCCAAAGAGGATTTATGGAGAAACATCACCCAGAGAAGGATGTTGCAAGCCATATCGGCAACTTGTACAGTGACAGAGTCTTGGCCCATTTTAGGGAAGTTTTAAAGAGATGCCAGAAACAGAGCTCTCTGGACAGTTTTTTTGCAAGACAGGACTCCAGTGACTCTCAAGGTGGTCCTAGTGGCATTAAGAAACAGAGAAGAGAAGTAACCCCAGAAAAGCAATTGGTACCTGAGGTGTTGATGGAAGGGGATTCCCCTTCCAAACAGTAAATCCTCCAATCTGTCTCCTTCTCCAGTCTTCCATACACAAAGAAGAATCGCCAATAAAGGTAAGTGTTATTCTGTTAATGTTTAATTCATCATGTGCCACTGTATTGTTTATGTACTACATCTATATTTCATGTAAAAAATTTTTTTGTTTTAATACTTCTGGGTATCAGGAACGGATTAATTGAATTTACATTATTTCTTATGGGGAAAATTGATTCGTAAATCGTCCATTTCGATAATAGTCCCACTTCCAGGAACGGATTATGGACATTATTGAGGGACCTCTGTATTATTATAAACTGTGTGTTCTGTGCAATATTCGGTATAGGAACTCTTTTGAGTTAGGCCTAAGAATTAACAACTGGACATTCAAACTCCAAACTGAACTGTTTGCCATCCTAATTGCGCTAAACCTTACTTATGACACTGAGTTTGACTCTATCATCATTACTGATTCTGTGTCATCACTTAAGGCTCTTGACTCACATAATGACTCTAACAACATGCTCATTTGAGAAGCCAAGTATAGATACATACTCAAAAATCCAGGAAAAAAAGAATTAATATACAATTGTTATGGATCCCATCACACAATACATTACTCCTCCATGATAACATTGATATGTTAGCCAATAAAAGTACCCTGAAGCATAACGTCGAATATAACTTTGGTGTATCTGTCTAGCATTAGGAATAATATTAGGAGAGAAGTAAATAATGCAACTGAATGTTATAGGAATGCAGTTTGATGTCTGAGTATATTCATAACCCACTGTGATAACATGAACATAGATCAGTATGTTTATGGGGCAACTTGCAATGTGAACAGACTGACTAATATTGTAGTGGTCAGTCTTAGGCTTGGTTAGAAGTACTTCTGGCAGTTTGGGAGACACAGATGTTCAAACCAAAAGCACAGTATATGGCCAGCCCTATTGTCACTATCTTGAGCACACTGTTTAATTGCCCACTTATTGAGGAATATACAGATAGACATTATAATAACCTATGTGAAATAAGATACCAGTTATATTAACCAAATTTCCTAAATTTGTAAAATCCAGATATACTCCTATTACCCCTTTTGGGACCTAATTCCTAGTCCTTTTGTGTTTCTGTATGCTCTTGCTCTACCGTCCACAGGATGGATATAGGGTGTACAATAAACTAACCACTTTGGTGGTAAGATCTAATCTTAGGTATACAATAGAGTACTTAAGTGCTTTTTTTTTTTGGCTATACTATTTTAACATTATCTAGGTAGTAGGTTGGTACACAGCAACGGCCAAGGAAGGTACTACTGTCCTGCCAAGTGAGTGTAAAATGAAAGCCTGTAATTGTTTTACATGATGGTAGCATTGTTGGTGTCTTTTTTCTGTCTCATAAACATGCAAGATTTCAAGTATGTCTTGCTACTTCTACTTACACTTAGGTCACACTACACATGCATGTACAAGCATACATTATATACACACCCCTCTGTGTTTTCTTCTATTTTCTTACTAGTTCTTGTTCTTGTTTATTCCCTCTTATCTCCCTGGGACAGTGGAACAGAATTCTTCCTCCATGAGTCATGCGTGTCATAAGAGGCGACTAAAATGCCCGGAGAAAGGGGCTGTATACATTACTAAAATTAAAAACAGAAACTTTTGTTTTTCTTTTTGGGCCACCCTGCCTCGGTGGAATACGGCCAGTTTGTTGAAAGAAGATATTAACGTGTTCTGTGATTTAACAGCCACTCAGAAAATCCCCCTGTGTATTTCGTTAAATCTGCTGTAGAGTTGGCAAAATGTTTCATAATTTATTTGTCTACATTACAAAACTTAATCTCTTTTATCTTATTGATATTTGAATTAACTTTAGCTGGTTGATGCATTTCTTGCTTAGGTTTGGGTGCCCAGTACATTAGTCTCTTTAGTGTACTGAATAAAGTAACTAAATAGGTCAAATTGATATCGTGTTTGTGTCCCATGCTATATATTCTAGCCTGAGTTTTCTTCTTGTTCTCCAAGAGTCTTTTCAGTTATTTTTTTATTATGTCAAGGAAGAATTGCTAAATCCTTTGGATCATTCAGTGCCTTGGAAATGGGAAGTAATCGAGTTTGATTTGAGAAAGTGGAGGGTAGCCCCAGTAACCTCGTGTGTGTGATATTTGCCAATAATTTTTATGGACACTTTTATTGGCTCTGTTTTCATGTACAGAAAAAGATTAATTTTTCATTTTTTACTATTGTTGACTCTATTTTCATTTACAAGAGGAAGATTAATTTTTAAATTTTACTAATCTCTTTGCATTTTATGTCATGTGGTATAGATTTCCTTCCAGAAATTTTCATATGTATGGATATTCTGGAAACCAGTATTGTTATTATTAGATTATTATTATTATGTTTACAAGGAGAGTGCTAAACCCACAGGGGGTCATACAGTGTGTGGGGTATGGGAGGTATTCAGGATTGATCCAGAGAGGATAGCAGGTCCAGTTCCTTGAGCCAGGAGCCCCTCACTTGCTTCAGCAATCCTCCCAGGCATATAACTAACCTTGCTACTTTCCACTACCCTCAGGGAGTCGGCCTTCACACCCACTTGCAGTAGTATGATCTCTGATATGTTTGATGAGGTAATTATTACTTTTTATTTAATCAGACTTAAAGAAAATTTGTATTTTTGCCATATAAGTAAAACACAGTGTTTTGTGTATTTTGTATGTTTTGTTTATTTTGTTTTGCATATTTTGCATGTTTTGTTATGTATATTTTGTATGTTTTGTTATGTATATTTTATATGTTTTGTTTTGCATATTGAGAGGGAACAGTAACAGGTGATTTTCAGAATGTTAATAATACTATATGGTAAACAAAAGTGTACTTATTAACTTGTAATTCATTTACTATGCAATACTCTCAATAGCTATAAATGTTGACAAAAAATCAAACAGCATTACTGTCTCTTGCAGTCTCTCCGTGCCCTAGCGCTGGCAATCTTCAACTGGGGGGTCTACTTCGGCTATGGTCTCTCCTACGTTGTGGGTAACTTCATCACTGCTGCTGACATTGCCAATATGGTGGGTAGTACACTGAACATCAGGATTTTAAGAGTAATTAACGTGAAAAGTAAAAGGACACAAGTGCAACTAATGTGACATTTATTGTGGCAACGTTTCGCTCTCCAGAGCTTTATCAAGCATTGTAGTAATGGCTTGATAAAGCTCTGGAGAGCGAAACGTTGCCACAAAAAATGTCACATTAGTTGCACTTGTGTCCTTTTACTTTTCATATTGTCGGTAATTCTACCAACTTTATTACAGTAATTAACGTATTTCTAGTTCAGTTGTATTTTAAAATTTCCGTCTGTGTTTTGTCTTTCATATTGACATTTGAATAATTAATGAATATTATAACTACTAGATGATTATTTAATTAGATTATTTTACTAGAATGGTTTGCAATCTTTGACATTTTATATAACAGTCTGGTTTATGATTTATGAGATAATGAGATTTTATGTAACAATTTGGTATAACATTTGTAGTGGCTAAGCCTCTCTGTAATCTTTTAGCCACCATCTACAGAACAGATATGGAAGTGCATAAAAATGCGGTCATATTAACTAGATTCATAGTACAAAATGTTTTCTTGTTATTATGAAATTAGAAGATACAAAGGGTTACCAGTTTGCAAGCATTTTATTCTTTCAAGTTTTTCAAATTATAAACAAGTTGTTTACACAGAAAACAATATCACAAAGGATGTTTTTTCTGTGCATATTTATACTAAGATTCAGGGGTTGTAAAACTAATTACAGCCTCTCCTCACTTAACAACGTACTCATTTGTGACAACTCGGACTTACAACAAGCTCTCTGACCAATATATGTACAGTGGAACCTCGACTTACAAATTTAAATCATTCCATGACCTCGTTCATATCCTGATTTGTTCGTATGCTGAGTCAATTTTCCTCATTTAAATTAATTGAAATGGCATTAATCCATTCCAGTGGAATTCCTGCTCTTAGGAGGCATGGCAAAATACTTCAATATGATGCTAATATCAACTCAACAGCTTATTTATATATCACAGTTCATCTAATTTCACCATCACTTAAGGAATGCACAACAGTTGCATCATTGTCAGTGTTCAGCATTTCTTCGATGTCAGCTTCCTGTACCTCCATTAGCACACAGTCAAGATGAGTAAATAGAATTGTCAACACCTATTGCTTGGGTACATTTATTCTGTTAGTGGGTTGGATCTGTGAATGACCTGCCTAGAATGGGCCAACAGACCCAATGCAGTGTTCCTCCTTTCTAATGTTATTATGTACCCATGACACCAATCATACCCATCCCTCCCACTCATGTATTTGTCCAATCTCTTTTTAAAGCTACCCAAGGTTCTACTGAAGCTAAAACCTTGGGTAGTTTCAAATTTAGGTTGGATAAATACATGAATGGGACTTGCACGTGATTAAATAGGGTTATTAAACCATTTATCACAGGATTATTAAAGCTTATTGCTTGGGTAGCATTGATTCTGTTAGTGGGCTGGATTTGTGAAGGACCTTCCAAGTATGGGTCAACAGACCTGCTGCAGTGTTCCTCCTTTCTTATGTTCTTATGTTGATGAGTGGAACAATCTGCCTAGTATGGTTACTGAGGCTAACACCTTGGGTAGTTTCAAATTTGTGTTGGATAAATACACAAGTGAGAGGGGTTGGACGTGAGTGGGACCTGCACATGAGTAAATAGAATTATTTTTTATTTTTTTTTTATTATCACACTGGCCGATTCCCACCAAGGCAGGGTGGCCCGAAAAAGAAAAACTTTCACCATCATTCACTCCATCACTGTCTTGCCAGAAGGGTGCTTTACACTACAGTTTTTAAACTGCAACATTAACACCCCTCCTTCAGAGTGCAGGCACTGTACTTCCCATCTCCAGGACTCAAGTCCGGCCTGCCGGTTTCCCTGAACCCCTTCATAAATGTTACTTTGCTCACACTCCAACAGCACATCAAGTATTAAAACACATTCGTCTCCATTCACTCCTATCAAACACGCTCACGCACGCCTGCTGGAAGTCCAAGCCCTCACACACAAAACCTTCTTTACCCCCTCCTCCCTCCAACCTTTCCTAGGCCAAACCCCTACCCAGCCTTCCTTCCACTACAGACTGATACACTCTTGAAGTCATTCTGTTTCGCTCCATTCTCTCTACATGTCCGAACCACCTCAACAACCCTTCCTCAGCCCTCTGGACAACAGTTTTGGTAATCCCGCACCTCCTCCTAACTTCCAAACTACGAATTCTCTGCATCATATTCACACCACACATTGCCCTCAGACATGACATCTCCACTGCCTCCAGCCTCTCCTCGCTGCAACATTCATCAGCCATGCTTCACACTCTTTAAGAGTGTTGGTAAACTATAGTCTCAAAATTTCCCTTTTGCCCCCAAGGGGCAAAGTTTTTTGTTCCACAACCCCTAAGTGCCCATCACCCTTTTCCCCTCTCAATTTATGATTCACCTCATCCTCATAGACCCATCCGCTGCACGTCACCCCCAAAATTTGAAAACATTCCCCTCCCCATACCTCCCCCCCCAATCTGTACCCAATTTTTCATCCCCAAATATTTTTGTTTTTTAAAAACCTTACTCTTTCTGTATCTTTTTTTAATTTTATTCTTTTGCACAACCTACCAAATTATCCCCCAATCTCTAAAACTTCTTTTCGAATCCCCAAGAGCACAGTGCATCAGCAAAGAGCAACTTGAAACTCCCCATTATGTGTGATTCTTTTTTTTAAATCACGCCTCTTGTAAGCCCCCGATTTATTTCTCATCTATCTTTTCCCTTCCCCCCATCTATAAATATATTAAAAACAACCATGGTGACATCAACATCCTTGTCTAAGGCCTACTTTTAGGGGAAAATTTTTTCCCCCTCTTCCTATGTACTCTAATTGACCCTACTATCCCGTAAAAACTTTTCACGTTTCAGTCCACCTTACCCCAAAACCCCTCAAATCTCCCAAATTCCCCCCCCATCCACCCTGTCATAGCTTTTCCAAATCCATAAATGCCACAAAAGACCTTTTAGCCTTATTAAATATGTTTATTATATGTTTCACGTAAACACCCGGTCCCCCACCCCCTCCTTTCCCAAAACTCCCTTTTTAGTATCCTATTTCAGTCTTATTTTAATTTTTCAATAATAATCTACCATACACTTTACCAGGTATACTCAACAGACTTTCCCCCCATAATTTTTGCACCTCTTTTGTCCCCCTTTTCCTTTTACAAAGGAATATGCAGCTCTCTGCCCCAAACCCCAGGTACCCTTCCCCCTTTCCATACATTTTTAAATAATTGCACCAACCCCTCCAAAACTATATCCCCACTTGTTTTAACTTTCTATCTTTTTCCCATCAAACCCGGCTTTCCTTACCCCCCTTTTATTTTACCTATGCCCCACGAACTTCCCCCACACCACACTGGTCTTCCTCATCCTACAAGTGTTATTCCTCCTTGCCCTATACACAAAATCACAGCTTCCCCTTTTTCATCAACATTTAACAATTCCCCAAAATATTCCCCCTCTTCCCCAAAACCCTAAATCTCCATTTAAAAACTCTTCTCCCATTTTTAACTGACAAACCCTTTTTTCTCCCAGGCTTCCCTTTCTTGTTAATCTCACTCCAAAACTTTTTCCTTATTTTTTAACAAAAATTTTTTGATAAATTCACCACTCTCTCATTTTCTCTCTTTTTTAATTTTTTCACACTCTCTTAAAACCCCCTTTTTTTTTCCATATATTTCCCCCCGCATCATTCTACTTTGTAAAAAAACCCCTTATATCTAATTTTTCTCCCTTACACTTTCTTTTCATCTCATTCCCAATCGCTCCTCTTCCCCCCCGCCCCCACTTTCTGTAACCCCAAACTTTGCTGAACACTTAACAACATTTTTAAACCTCCCCCTACCTTTTCGACCCCATTGCCTATCTCTCTTCCCCCATCTATCCTCCATAGCTGTTTATTTTTTCCCAAACTGCCTCTCTTTTTTTTTATAAACCTTACCTTCTCTTCCCCGATGCTTTATTTTCCTTGTATCCATCTACCTTTTACTCTCAGTGTGCTACAATAAAAGTGAATTTTATATCTGTGGCCCCCCTTAAAAAAATTTTAAACCGAAGTCTACCCCATCTTTTTTTACAATAAAACCAACAAACTAGCATTTCGCCCTACATCTATCTTGATACTTTACCCCTTTTTTTAAAATATGTTTACCTAAATAAACCCCTTTTATATAAAGTTCAATCATGACTTCGAAAGGCGATAAATGAAAAGCCCCTGCACTCTGCCCCAGGGCCAGACTCATTGAACTCCGTGTTCATCAAGAACTGCAAGAAGCCCCATCCGAGCCTTTCCATTATGGGGAGGGAGAGGGGCACGGGGTGTCCCCAGTTACTAAAAACAAAGACTAGCCCCCCCTCCCCAAAAAGGGGGAGTAAAAAACAGCAAAGAATACAGACCGAAGCCTAAATCCCCAAACATAAAAATCTTTGAAAGAGTCCAAGAAGAAGATAACCCACTAGAAACCCATCAGTTCACAAACCCCGGGAACATGGGTTTTAGAAAGGACTCCTGTCTGTCTCAACTATTGGATCCACGACAAGGGTTTGATGCACTAAAAGACAAAAAGAAGCAGATGAAATAATACAGACTTTGCAAAACCCTTCGAAAAGTTGACCATAGATAATAGGCACAAAATGGTGCTAAAGGAAAACGGGAAAAGTCGGTCGATGGATCTAAAATTTTCCCTCATAAAAGAACACAGAGAGTTAGTCAAGAGAAAAGTCGAGGCGGGCCGGTGAAAAGCTCTGTTCCAAAAGGCAAGTACTCGCCCCATTTTGTTCCTATTTATATCTGAATAGCAAGGATGTCACCCACAGCACCGTGTTTTCCTTTGCAGATGACACCCGAATTGCTGACTGTCTTCCTTTAGACACTGGGCCCGGTGGACATCAAACCCAAACTTTCGTGGGCTGCAGAAAACAATTG